AATTTACGGAGCTATAGGTATCGCAAATCGCGATTGTTGTCGCGGAGGAATGCTGAACGTTTATTTTTTGGATCGTTATTTTTTGATGATAGTTTTATGAGTTCTAAATCCGCTCCTTGATATAACCATTCAAATAAAATTAATTAAATATTTAATTATGAACACAAAATGAAGTGCGGCCATGGACTTCTTTATTTATCCGTAATTTTTATTTGGGATTGTTTGCGTACTCTCGAGATACGTAATAATAATTTAATTAAAGAAAAACGCGTTTAATAAAAACTCAAAAAATTATTTTCTAAAGATAAATTGCAATAAATCAGCGAAAGAATACATAATTATACATATAATAATACATAAGTTTATTGAACATAGAGATCCAACCACTTGACAGACACAAATAATATGGGAAAAATAAATCTTTCGATAGTTAATTAATTTAACATTTTTATTTTAGTTGCATTATTTTGCTCGCATTAAATTTGTATAAAATCCTTTTTTGAAAATTATTGATTCGAACATCTTTCTGCTTTTATATATCTACGTACAAATATACGCACGCATGCGCTCGCACGTATGCGAGTATGTATGCACACGTTCGTACAAACTTGTCTTATGATATATAATCTTATGAAAATTAATTATAATTTTACCCTGCATCTCATCTTATGATTTCTACCTTATTTTATGAATTTTACTAAGTAGAGGTATTTAACTATTTGAATACTTTCTCTCGAGTAAAGTCAAAAGTCAATACAGTAAATATTGATTTTCTTATATTTATAAGATCTTCTTTATTGAACGTGTTTGTTGATTTAGCTAATCGTCCTTAGATACTGCCTCTCATTCCAATCGAATACGAAGTGTATGATTCGAAACCAACAAGTTTCACGGATATCAAAATTGTTGGCCCGATTTCTCGTAGGTATTAAAATACTATAATTATTTTGACATTTCGCATAAATTGTGGCATTTCATGAGTATTTATTTATACTCTAAGTATCGTATACAGAGAATTTTGCCGTGGCATTTGATTAATCCATCGCTGCTTTAGCGATCTGAATTCTGAGAGTGCCAAAACGAGCAAAAGCCACATCGTAGACGACGCAGAGACTTGCTAATGAATGGTCGCAGTTATATGCGCGCAGCTATTCAAAGCGATTAAGTCGCGGAGAAAAATATCGGAGCCGTTTCGAGGGAATATAGAGATATAACGAAAGCGCTTGTGCGATTTTACGAGATCCTACGCCGGAGTTAATAACACTGTGATAATGACGATCGTATTTATTAGAGTCGGGCGATTTAATCAGCCCGCGAGTTGCGTAGTTAGACGCGCGACAAGAGAGAAAAATAAAATAAAAAAATCATCGCGTGAAACAGACTCGCTAATATCTGCTCGCGGACCATTCAATCTGATTTATTCAACTTCATAAATTATTCTGAAAAATTGAAGTAACTTAAGAGACACGGAAAACGGTCGTTTTCATATAACTTGACTCGATACCGATCTACGGAAGCATCATTTATATAGATAACTTACTTATATATTTAATTCCCTCGATCCAGATTGAAGATTTGCGTATCATTTCTCGTGGCTAGTTTCCATAATGAATCGACAAGATAAATTCTACACGCGTTATAAAATTCACGTTGGATCGGATCCGACGATCAAAAATGCACATTGATATATTTCATGTATAAATATCTTATTTTTATATATAAGTATCGCGTTGAAGTATCGAATTATATTTATACATAATCAATCATACGTACAGACAGAAGAGAGACTGCGAATGACTTAATAAAGAGAGAAACTTATTGTTCCTATCGCCTCTCGTTAATCGGTGTCGGCTAGCAAAGCCACTCCCGCCTCAGGTGTAGTCCACCGGTTAGCTATCGGTCTCGAGGAAAAAAAGGACGAGGTGCATCGCGCCTTCGGAGACGCGTCGGCTAACGAATGAACCGACGTCGGGCGAACACGCTTTTCCCAGGGCGATTATAGTTGCTGAGCGACAACGGTGGCGGCTTTAAAGTATCGTTACGCGATGGCCCTCGATTAAGCATCTCTCCGTCGCTGCCGCCTTGCATACCAATCTTCCTTCTCCTCCTCTTCGTTCTCCGCGAAGAGGCCTCGGCCAGCTTCCCTCGGAACGATCCAGGCGGATCCGGTATTACGAGAGCGCGCATTATCGCGGGTAACAGCTGATATCCGTCATCCAGCGCGATTAATAAACGCGAGACGACGCGTCTTCGACGCTCCGCTCCGGGCGTCTATCTCGCTCTGAAGAAGTCCGCGAAGTCTGCTTAGGAGCAGATATATAGTATACCGTTCTCTCGGGAGGATTAATCGAAGCTGACCGCGTGATTTAATTGAGTTTGTCTGCTTAGTTTTCCGCCCGAGAGGAAAACAATTAATCAATATCATATCGTAGAGCAAAGGTAAAAAATTATAAGTATCGGTAGTTTATATCGTATGAGATGAAACAAAGTCGAGGAAGAGTTGTCTATACGAATGGATAAAGCTTGATCATCACAAAAAAAATTAATGTTTTTCTCTTAGAATTTAGCCTGAACACAGGATGTTCGATTAATTTTACTATGTACATATTAATATTATTTATTGTGATAAATATTTATCAAAAATTCTTATAACATTTTTCCAATACCATATTATTCCACGATTACCATGATTTTCATAAATCATGATAATTTGTGGGTAAATTCTAAGAGAAAATTTTCTCTGTGTGTAAAAGAATGGTTCAAGCTTGATATAAAAATATATGTTACATGAAAATATTTATTAAAAAATTTAGATGAAGTATCTGCGTGACTTTCTTTTTATAATAAAAGTTGCAACAATAAAGATAGAATGATTTAAGGAAGTCAGATGCACGGATAGAATTCTCATGGTAAATAATTTTTGCTATGTACATAGTAAAATTAATCGAACATATTTTATATTTTATTGTAGTAAATATATATATATATATACATATTAATCAGAGATTTAGAAAATTCTTCCAATACGATATTGTCCCACAATTACCATGATTTTCAGGGTAAATTCAAAGAGAAAATTGTCTCTGTGCATTCAATTACAAGAGAACTTTGTTTTTCGGTAATTAAACTCAATCTCGAAGAGAACCACCGCGGGCAGTACATGCATGGTGAATGTCCGAGTTGAGGACTCCCTTTATATGACGCGTGGTAGCGTGTAAAGTTTCCCGGCCCCTGCCTGCGCGACAGTGTGTTTACGGCAGCAGCAGCCGCGGGCATACTTCTCCGAGGTGGAATTTATGCCTAAAAGGGAACGCCGCGGTCGATCGGTCGCTGGCCGCAGTTGCTCGGAGGGCTCCGACCAAGACGATCGCTTCTAGTCGTCTCCTCGAGATTGACTGGGCGTTGGCTCCCGGCTCCATCCCGCTTCAGCTTCGCGTGTAATCGCCTTTTTTTCTTTGTCTCTCTCGCTCTCCGAGGAACGAATCTCCGTATCTAAACGGTCCGTGCCGGTCCGGCCCTTCCGCTTCCTCTTCGCGATCATTGCCGATCTACTTAGAACAGGAGTTACGGACCGTTCGAATTGATAATCGACATGCAGTCGTATGTTAAGTGCGATGTTTGAGGGGAAAAGGTCAATAGGCTGGTTAAACAATACCAATTGTTCTAATCGAAAAGATTCTGGGATGTTCAGGAAAGAAATTTCTGATGTCATATCATTCTATGTTGATTTAAATTGAAATATCGTCAATTAAAAAGATTAGAACGACTGTTTTATATTTCAAATAATTTTATTTTTCTCGGGATTTTATTAAGCTTTCGGGGATATAAATCTCCATACTCGATATACTTTGCAACTTTTGCATGCGAATTCTGGGTACTTTATATTTTACTAACTTTCACGAAGTACGCTTACACTCGCAACAACTTGCTTTGATGGAAGATCGGTTCTGAATTTTGATTCGCATTCAATATTTATCATTTGTACTCTACATTGTCTTCGTTACTTCGCTATCCCTTTCGACCTTCGAAAGCGTCTCGCGCAGTTGCTGACGTTAAATTGATAAATCACCTCGGGAATTAGAATGACAGATACTGCCAAGTCGAACAAACTGCTCGGACGATTTGCCGCTTAGATTAATCCTGCGGGTTTAAGTAGGGGTTGACCTCGTCTTCTAGAAAGTATGAACGTTATTTTGTGACCATCGCGCGAGTGCCATAAGGGCGGAACAATTCTACTACGTACACAAATACCGAATCGATCGCTTCAAAAACGTACCATAAGTAAAGAAAGAAATAAATTGTTGATAGTTATGAGCAGGGTTGAATAATAACTAGTTAATTAGTTAAAAGTTTAAAAAAAGTTAATAACTTTTAACTTAGCTTATTGTTAGTTAATTTAAAATGTATTAATTCAACTAGCTATTTTTGATCTTAAACTTATTAATTTTTTTCCAAGTTAATTTTTTTTATTTCTGAATACCATTATTGTTTTTTTATAAGTTATAAACGTATTATTTTTAAATTGAAGTAATATTAATTTTCATATTTATTTGTTATCAATTGTAATTACCAAAAAAAATTTCTATATACAAATCAAAATTTCTTTGTTATTTGTTATTATAAATTTGAAAAAAATTAACAAACAAAATTTTCTAATTTAATATGAATAATGTTTTCAAAAATTAACTTCTTAACTTAACTTTAACTGAGTCAATTTTTGTTCATGCAACTTTTAATTTAACTAAATTAATTTTATACACAACTAACTTTAACTTAACTTAGTTTTAAAAAATCATTAACTTATCCAATCCTGTTAATGAGACACTATATTATTTGTTGAAGCATATTTTGTTGCTTGGAAATAATAGGAATAATAATAAAAATCTACGCATACATAAACTTAAAGCGCTTAAAATATTATATCAATGAATATCCAAGTTATTTAATGAAAAAAAGATTACATAACGAACTGCTGTGCATGAAAATTCTTTCGGTTGCAGGTATTCGATCATAATAATGTAGTCATCCGTGGCCAGCGTGTTTAGAAGAAGTTTCGGAGGTTTACACACCATGAATTATATCCATAGAATTTATTCGTCTTCAGAATAAATCCGAGCAGGTGTTTCACCAGTGGGAAAATCCGGTAAGATGATCTCTAAAGATTTAAAAAAATCCTCTAACGGAACGCTGTCTTAACTCACCAAATCTCATATATCTCCGAACTTCGAGCATTCGCTCGTGAAAAATTGATAAACGTGAAACAAATAATCCTCCCCACCCCAGAAAAATAAATATCGTCCCGTTGATTTAAAATACTGCAATAAAAAAAAAAGATGTCTATTCGATGCATCGGTATATTTTTTTTTTCTCGCGAGGAGGAAGAAGGGTGCAAAAAAAAACGAACCGGCGAGGGAACTCTGCGATTCGGCGAAATTACGCTTCCTTTGAAACGTGATTACGCCATAGAAATCGCGCCCTCAATGCGCGTCTTCTTCGCAGGACGTACTCGAAATTTCATCCCTGACACCCAGGCTGCTGCTGCATACACAGGGTGTAAGCACAGTTCTTTTTCCAGGGAGGAATAGATATCCGTGCAGACGGGCGTTTTGCGTGCGACGACGTGCGTTGGTCGTGAATGGCCACTCATTTGCATAAAGTTTCACGTGTAAATTGTAAGCCGCGGATACGTGAAACGAGTCCGGTGTCTTTCGCGAACCAGATTCGCAAGATTAATAGCAACGTGGGGTTAGCGAGCTTCGTCAAGCCCGGCGACTTGATGATGGCCTGCGTAACCAGCTGTAATAATAACCAGCAGGGTGTAAAGTGTCAAGTAATTGGATATTTAGGGACACTACATTTGTTCTATCGTTAGCGGTACGATAATTTCGTGAAAATTCATCATCAATAAGTTTTCTATATAATTCTATATAATTTATTTTATTCGCGATTATTAAGCTTTATTTTATTCTTATATTAGATCTATTATCTTCTAGCAAAAGTTACTGAAATTTTAATTTTTACGTATTCACAACATTTTCATTCGATATAACACATTATAAATGAAATATCAAACACAGAACGCACTTTATTACATTTTATCATCAACCTTTCGAGCGCACTCGAGTTGCACAAGTTACATCCAAGAAGGGATGCACATTTCATTAGAAGGGAGGAGAGAACGAAGAATCAAAAGAAGGGTGACTTTCGCCCGGCGAGTATCAAAATGCGATAAATCAAATATATCTCACTACCGACTACAATCTCGGGATGGAAGAAACCCTCTCCTGCGTCATTGCGGGAATACACGAAGCGGCACGAAGGGGAGAGGTCGACGAGGGTCGTAAGCAGACCCATCCCCAGTCGTGTGTCGGACAATGCGCCGAGTTCTCTCCCTCTTCCTTTCGCCCGCGTAAGCATCACCGGGTGAAAAAGCCTACAGAGATCCCGTCGACCGCTTTCCCACGACTCCTCCTACGACCGTTACAGGTTTCCTTTCCAATCCCTTTTTTTGCCTCCTCCTCGATCTTTCTTCCTCTCCTCTTACCCGTCGCCACGCCGACAGCTTCTCTCTTGCAAGATTCGAGATGATCTTGTTCGAGCCGCGAGACGCACGTGTGCGTATATATATACGCGTCTCGTTGAACGACGAGGAAAAAGGGGTCGAGGGATGAAGAGGGACCTCGAATTATGAGAGGCTCATTCGACACTTCACGTGCGCCCAAACTGCGAAGGGTTGATGCTAATCACATGTGACATTCGGGGATGATGAGAAGGAAATCTAGAGAAGAGAGAGAGAGAGCAAACTTTGATAATAATATGTACTCTTCTTTCGGGCCAAATTGGAATTTTTTTCTTACTTCATCATTTAGCATCAATTGTTATTAAAAGTTCTATAAGTTTTCATGTCAGATATTGGGATGACATAATTGCTGGATATGTATTTTAATATTTTACAATTGAGTTTTGTTATGCAAAATGTCTCGAATTAATCAATAATATCAATCAAAATTAATATTGGACGCTAGTGGTGAAAATAAACTTGGCAAAATTGATTTCGACATAACTAGCAATTTTATTATCGATACTTTCACGACGTTTCGACCATTTGGTTGTGGTCCTTATCAAGTGGTCAAGTCAACGACTGACGAAACATTATAGCGATGGGACGTGTTCCTCTTTTAACTATTAATTTTAAATAAGATCGGTTTTATGTTGCGTTAATCTCATTTTAATTGATGGAATTCTCACTTGATAAGGACCACAACCAAATGGTCGAAACGTCGTGAAAGTATTGAATAAAATTGCTAGTTACGTCGAAATCAATTTTGCCAAGTTTAATCAATAATCTTTGACATACCGAATTACTTATTTCTGTTATTAAAAAAATATGTGTAATTTGATACATTTTTTAACGCGATGCGCGGAGATGAAGGAATTTTTATACTGAAAACTGGCCGATTATTACTTTACGAAATTTTGATTATATACACGCAAATTCGTCAGTCCTGTCAGTTCATGTCTCTTCGTCATTGAAGGAAGCGCAAATCCATTCACAAAAGTGACAACCATCCGAGACGTTTCTCGTCCTCGCGTAGGAAGAGGTTAAAAAAAGTTTACGGTGCTCCCGTGACACGCGACACCTTTGAATTTCAACAGCCCGCCACTTATTGGGACACTTTCGCTCTATTATCAACAAAGAGATCGTTATTATCGTCGGCGTCATTATTCTTCTTATGGATCGATTAGGGCTCGCAGGTGGGCGCCATCATGGAAATTGCTTCTACGAACTTTCTGGGACGCACGTGTGCGCTAATGGTGATCTCTTTCGTTTCTTCACGAATTCGTTCAAAGTTTCGAGCGAAGGAACCTTCGATACACGTAGTGTTCGTAGTTAACGAGAGTCTTGTAGCCCGGAGCGGAATTTCGATAAAGCACGATATTATCAGGACGTTAAGTAAAGCGTGATAGTATCGTAACATAACAGTGAGTATCTCATATTCCTCAGATTTTTTATCTCGATTATCAATCGATCCTTTTTCACGAATGCGGAAAAGTTCGTTATCTCTTTTTTATTTAATCTATTAATAAAATTATTGCTTATATATTTAATTAACACAATTGAGAAGAAGCCTTTTGTTTAAAATAAAAAGATACCACTGATTTTTAAATTTTTGGATAATATGGGATTATGTGTTGACACACCTAGCTTTACCTGGTCACGATCGGAAAAAATTCAGACAAACGGTGAAAAGAAAAAGAATCTTACGAAAGAAGAAGAGAAAACTTCCCGCCGAGATAAAAAAGGTCACAGGGATGAAACGTTGCAGGATACATATATATCCTAAGTGTCCTTTATGCTTTATATTTGTGGCTTGCGCAAAGAACGTTCTCAGACAGGGGGTAGCGAGTGCGATGCCCTTTAACAATAACAGAAAAATGGACCTTTCCGAAAAGCACAAGGTATTGTTCCGTTTCTTCAGAAATAACGATCGCCTTCTTTTATGTCTGTTTCTTGGGTGCCTATAGCGTTTCCACCTTTTTCAGAATGATAAAGCATTCATCGCATATATTGAATTTTTCTCGCATCTCGTAAAATTCAGAAATAATAATCTCGCACAGAAATGACCTGTGTACCTTTTTAGAAAATTGAAAATCGGACATACGGATCGATCCTAATGGATGAGGCGAACAGTCATAAAACGAGTAGCCGCGAAAAACAGCGAGTGGCAAATCAAACGACAAATCGCGAAAGCGTCGTGCTATTAGTATTTACGGAGAAAATGTCAGAGCGACAGCCGATCGCGGAATCTTCGCGCTTCCACCGCACCTTTAAGCCGTATTCACGTCACTTACGTAACGCGATGAACTCTCGCGAAGCGTCCTTTCTCTTCCTTTCGACTATCTCCGTCCTTCGCCAGTGGCGTCGATAATAAATACGTAATTTATCGAATGTATAATTATTTATCACAGTCGTTATATTCATAATTAAATTATTTTAGAAAGAAATTCTTCTTAGATGATTTTGTTTATTGTATGATATTACATTTGATATCTTGCAAAACTTTTTGCATATATGTATACGTACGAATATTTTCCATACATTTGTGTTTTCCATACTCATGTGTTGTTCAAATGAGAAATTCTTTGAATTATATTTGAAATTAATTATGAAATTAAAGATATGCAACCATGGACGTCCGCAAGGGAGCAAGAGCGGGCATTTGCCTCCCTTCGGAATCAGTAAAAAAATTAAAATTAAAAATAAAATTTAAAAAAAGAAACAAAAAAATTAATTATGCCCCCTCCTGGAAAAAATTCTGCGGACGTCCAAGTATGCAACATACATAGACCTCTGTATGAAAATTAAGTATGAAGAGGTGCTGATGTAACTATAAAAAGAAAACATATTTTGCACACATCCTTTGAATATAAAAAATTGACATTTAATAAATCGTTCGAGTCTAAGTCTCTGCCGAATTATCTTCATCGAATTCAAAGTTTATTCTAAAAAAAAAAAAAAAATGAAAAAAGCAGGCGATACATGATGGAAACCCTATCGATTCTACGCCGTTGCACCGCGTTCTTTCGATTCTCCGAGTACCGTCTTCTCACCCACGACTGCGGCTTGCGCAACTTTATTCTGTTACTTCACGAGCGGATTTGCTCGCACGAAGCTAACCTATCCCCCTGTACCTCCTTCTACCCCCTGCCCTCTCTTCCAACTGTCGGGGCAGAGATCGGTGCGGGTGCTTTGCCGATGTTGGGTAATCCGACAGCAGCAAGAACATCTTAAAGGATGCATCCCGGATAGATTTATTGATAGCGCTATGTAGACGCGCCGTGTTCGACGTGCCTCGGATAGAGTCGCGACGCGATTGAGCAGCGTGAGTCGCTACTTTTCGTGTTCCGATACAATCCGAAGAATCCAGCAATGCCTCATAAAGATGAAGACTTCATACGTTTAGAGCTATCCCTAATTCTCCGACGATCAATTACTCATCTGACTCTCGCTGCTCTTAATTTGAATTAAATATTTTATTAGTTAATTTATATATTTAATTGCAATATTGATATATAATTTCTTGCATATGATTAAATCCTTCACACTTAAGTGTACATGTACATATATACACTGGAAAAAAA